AAAGAAAGAAAGAAAGAAAGAAAAGAAAACCTAACAAAAACCCACAACATTTTTCATTATTTTCTTTTTTATTCCTTTCTGTTTAATCCTTGACACATGCTGACAGCACTACGGTATCATTTGATGCCCGTGTAAACAATAGCTGCATGTATTTCTGAACACAGAGCCTATTTATTAGTATAAATAGAGCTGTAATTAAAGGCTATGCTTTCAGTCGTTAGATAAGGTATTAAAATAATGTTATTGTTCAAATACATTTATGAATCAGGAAGATAGGTACCAGTAAATGAAAAACAACTTCAAACCTATTTCCCAACCTATAGCTGGACTATCATACTCCTTTGTTCTTGTGCAGGTTAATAGAGATTGAGGAGATGGGCAGAGGAAAAGCAGTGCAATTTTCTGCTATTTAAGCTTGGCGAAATGGCACTCTTCAGGAAGCAGCAAAAAGTATGAAAGCGTAATAGGCATTTTAAAAGTAGAAGTCCATATAGCTGCTTGAGGGATCCTCAGATTTAGGCATGCATAGAATCACGAATGAGATAATCAGCATTGTGAAATTGAAACCTGTCTGCTGCCTGCTGCTGTTCTTCCCTCTTTCAGTGGAGTGATTTGTAACACTCATCTTCTTCAGGCAAGGCAGCCTTCAAGATTATCCAGAACTGTCAATAGTAATTGCCAAAGTATTTTATTACCTACAGAAAATCAAAGGAATTTTATAACCAACAGTTATCAAGTTTCAATACATGGTATAAAGAGAGCAATTTTAGTTGGAATACAATCGTGTTTGGCTTGCTTTTATGTTTTTGAGACAATTCCTGTGCAACCAACTGCAACATTCACTGTATTTAAGCTGGAGGCAAGAATATGCACGTGTACTTGTAGTTTAAAAAAATTACATAATGCTTACAAGCTTCTGCAAGCAAGTGGTTTTTAATTGCCATGCAAACTATGCCTTAACTAATTACTTCTAAAAAGAATGAGTTTTCTGTAAAACTTGATATGACATTTTGAAATTCTGACAGTAGATACAAGTTTAACTGGGGCATTGTCTGTCATGAGATAAATAAAATGCCTGAAATTAGCAAAAAATGACACTGATTATAAAGTCTGAAAACATTAATGTTGCAGATCTTATTATAGCTTCTGAATATTACTGCTATGTGAACCACAGTTGTGTTTGTCAGCCATTCAGTTAACACAATTCTGTTTTGCTACAGGGTCACCCATGATTCAAAGCCTTTCAGATGCTTGGCTTCTCACTCAGGCTATGGATGAGTGAGGACTGCATCTTCTGTTCAACAGTGCTTTTCTGAGCCAGGCATTTCACTTTCCTTCCCCGACACCAGGGAAAAGGAAAGTGTGACTGTCTAAATGTTTGGTGGGAGAAAATTCAGTTTCTAATTTTGACAATGTATTTCCCCTCTAATTCAAGACTTCAATGAAATGGCTATCTCTGTGGGTTCTTTTAAAAATAAATACACAAATTCACGTGTGAAAAATAAATTGGCATGGGGAAATACCTCTTTTAATTTCCAAACCAGATAGGTTCACTTATATTTTGAGTCATATGCATAGGATTTTATCCACAGCACCAAAAAGCAGATGTCATTTCTATTGAGGGCTGCACTGAAAGAGAAATAAGCCATGAACAAATTTTATACTACCATAGCCATGAAGCCATGATTACAGCATAACAGAGAGCTCTCCTTTCAACTGTGAACCTCCTTGCACTTTCTCCCTGAGCTTTTGTTTTTAAAAAAAGACCTGTTAATTGAATTAATAATTGTTGTTGAAAGGGTAAAGTACTTTACCAAGAACCTCCTTTCATGGCACTGCAATATATGAAAAATTTAACAAAATGGTAATTAGGGGAGAGGTTATTTATATAGTATTAAAATGCTGATGTAATTATCAGAGAGTTATTCAATTACACCGGATAATAGACATTTTTAATGTAAGGAAGATGGCTAGTCTGCTGGAATTTTGCTAATATGAGTAACCTACCCTGGGTCCTGAATTTTTTTCACTATTATAATTTATACTGGTTTTTTTATATTTTACAGTGTATGAAACATGCATTGCTACATTATGCCATCTAGTATTTCTGTATGGATTACAAAAGTGTACTATATACATCCACTGAAATTAAGAGCATCAGAAGGAATGGTACTAATTTGTCCCTTTTAAAGAGAACTTCATTACCTCACCTGCACAACATGAAAGGAGAAACATTTAGGGCTAACACAGAGTTAACACAACAATCACATTTCTTGTTTACTTAGAGCTGTGGATTTGAACTGAATAATGGCAGGAGAAGCTGATGTTTATATTTTTGAGGGCCTGGAACTGTGTATTTGAACTAGATGTGTGCAAAACTTGTTCCCATTAGTCCCTGGTTGTCTAGTAGAATATTGTCCCATTGATAAATTGAGAATTGTCAAGTGGCATGTTGCCACTGTAACATACATATTGAAAGAATTGGGATTTTTTTGTTTATTTCAGTTTACACTTTGCCACTCTGATTGGATATTCAAGCATTGTAGAAGTCTCATTAGTTTGTTTATTAAAAGGAAGAAATCTGAATAGCACAGAGGAAGCATATAGTATATTATTCCAGATACTGAATAGCTCCAGAAATGACTAGTGATCGTTTTTCTAATCAGATGTATGATCATGGAGACTTTCATGATGTAATGGTGATATGGACATGTGGCTATAATACCATTTTCTCAGAAGAGGAATGAATTGTCTCTGATTCTAAGCTGATTGAAGTATTGGCATTCAAAGAATCAGAGCACAGGAACAAAAGAATCTGTCTTTGCAAAGCTGTACTACAGCTCATATTAACCTAAAATGTGTGGCAATGAAATTGAGCTTTATTTAAGTGTTCTTTTTTCTTCAAAAAAATCCAGAATGCAAGTTGTTGGAAGTTTTAAAACAGATGGAAATGCATAACAGGACATTTGTAGATCATAGTTCAGATACAGTTTTCTGTTAGGACACAGAATCTGAAAATGCTTCAGTTAAATTTAGCTTAGCAGTAGCCCAACTATTAAATTTAGCAGAGCTAGTCTTAATTTTCACTAGTTTGTATGAGAAAACCATAATTGTCACTCATTACTGTAGAGAAATAAATTGCATTTCTTTCTTAAGTCTCTGTTTAAACCCTGTATGGTTGCATTTAACATTGGATTAGGTAGGGTAAGAGTTTACTGAGAAATTGCGCAGCTGTATTTGTACAGAGCTGTACCTGATTCCCACCTCCTGTAGTGTGAGCAGTGGTAAGTGAACTGTTTCTATGTTGTTCACTCACTCTGTCAGATCGAAATTCAGCTCAATAGCATTAAACTAGCTCCCATTTGAAAGATTTGTCTTACAAACCCCTGAAAACTGCTCTGAACATGCATACATTGATTTTGTTGCTGGAATCTCCTGAGCTTTGATAAAAAGGAGACTCCACATGCAGGTGAAAGAGGGTTTACCTCTTCAATATTAAAAAGAGAAGATTAAGGATTTTTGTTCAGCTAAGGCTGAAGTAATCAGTGGCATTTGAAGGTAAGAGACCTGGCCTCATGCCTATAGTATGGTAATGTTATTTTTAGTTGAACAACAAGTTCAAATTTCTCCAGTAGCTGTCTCTGAGTAACTGTCTACCATTATTCCCATTTGCACAGGTAATAGAATATCCAGGGGTGCAGTAGTAAAGTTTTTTGTTTTAGCCACAGAGAGCAAGGTTTGTCATGTTCATTGCAGGAAATTTGCTCAAATTTTGTCCTGGAAAAGATGCAGCTGTGATATCAATTCACTGAACAACATCTATATGATAGTATTCTAAATGCTGAGAAGTTTGGTATTCATGGAGGAGATAAGGCTTTTTTTTTTTTTTTTTGTATTCAGAAGTTTAGTTTCCTTCCATTAAGTTCTATTAAAACATTAGAAAATGAAGATGTGTGATTTTCACAAGCTTTCAAATCTCATTCTAATGAGAAAGTTTCATTTAAGCTTCCAAGTTGGAGAACCTTCTTTTTTTGTCCTTGCCACAGACACATTCTGCACAGTACTTGTGGTTATCATAGCAATACAACTCTGTTTTAGCAGAAGAGGAAAAGTAGGGTAGCTTTAATTTGCACATGTCATCCCTGAGAATGTCACCACAATGTAATGCACAACATCCTGGGGAAAACAATAGTTGTTCACCTTCTACTGTCTGATCCATCTTTCTCTTGTGTTCACCTGCAGAAAGTCGGATAGCAAAAACGTTGCTTGAAATTGTGGCACAGGTAAGGCCTTGTAAGATATGGAGGGAGAAGGCAGTAATTGTTTGAATGAACTACCTATGCTGTAAGATATCACAGCATGTTACAAATACATCTAAACTTAAGTGTTATCAGCCATGCTTTTGATCTGTAGTAAGAAACACAGTAACAAAACTAAAATGAATGCTACAGAGACAGATAAAGCTAGATAAGATGTTTTCAGAAATTAGATAACATTTATTTTTCATCATTTGTAAGAATCACTTTTGCCTCTTAGGCATATGGCGGTTGCATTCTTGCACAGCATGGTTTTTCTTCATCAGATGTGCTCCCCCTGCCATCCTTAAACTGAGGTCACACTCCACAAGCACATGGAAGTCCAAATAAAAGAGAGTAGCTTCTTAAACATATCTCATAGTTTTAAAACTAACAATGACTTATGTGAAAAAGTAATTGTCAGTGATGACTTAGCCTTACTTCAGTCTGAACATAGAGCAGAGAGGACAAGAAAAACAAGCTTTGAAATAACTCATGAGACTGGAGGATTATTTGTCTAACTCAGTGAAATTGGGAATAATCTTCAAATCCTGCTTTAAAAATAATGTGCAAATACTGCTTAGTAAATTTGAGTTAAAACTCAAATGTATTTAACGACCACATATATTCTTAAAAGTATTTAGTGCTTTTATTGACAGAGAAATATTTATTTTACTACAACATTTCCAGTTTGCTTGACTTATGAGACTCAATAGCACATCTATAGCAATTCCAAATTCAGGAACTTAAAAGCAGTAATGATGAATTTAGGCCAGTTGCAATTTAAAGGAAGGTTGCTGACATTTTAGAATTACATGATTCTCTTGGAACTCATTTCATACTTTAATTCTGTTATACCAAGAAACGTTAGATGCAAGGGTAGAAGCTGAACTAGTAGCATTTTTTTCTTCCTAAGCCAATCCATAAAGATGTCCCTTCACCTCTTTGATGTGATAAGGAAGTGTTAAATCAAAGTGATTCCTTATTCTGCATCTTGGGACAGAAAACTGCTTAAGCCAATTGTTACTATTCCTGAGTGTTTTAGACAGTGAACCATGCATCTCTCTGTGCACATCAGAGAAGATTGTAGCAGTCATTGTGCCACCTGCTATCACTTAATTAGTATAATCATCTAATTTCCAGTTGGAAATAATGGCATCATGCACTTTTTAGTAATTGTAACCGTCATAATATATTCCAAATTATGTTACACTAACATTATGTGATTTAGAACTATTAGGAGGAGGTATTTGCTTTGCAAATACACTGGTCTTTCTGATTTTGACTCTCACCCAGCAACAAAAGTCCATACCCAGTTTTCTGGTTTATTATGATCCTAAAGATATCATATCATAACTCTGCAAACGAGCCTTTGGTAGGTATTATTTAACCTTTAGTGGACAGAGAAAAGAAAAAATAATGGAAACAGCAGCTTGACATAATGTAAAACACACCCAGGCTTCAAAATATTTGATCTTGTTTCTTTGCAAAATAATTTTTTTAAAAACAGAATCTTGGTGATGATTTATGCAAGTTATATACATTCTGTTTGTGGTTCTCAGTTTAAGGAATAATCTCAGTTGATCAGAATAGGTCTTAACATTTAAACATTTCTATACTGCAGTGGTTTTTTTGCTCCTGGAGATTTCATCACAGCAAATGAATAGGTAATAAATGAGTCAGTTTGGGGCTGCTTCATTTCACTGGACGGTTCTGGGCTATGAGGCTTCAAAAACAGAAAGAGAGAGAAAAAGAGAAAGAAATAGGCAATGACATGAAGGGATACAGGCAAACCTGAGCCACCGTCAGAGCTAACCCTCCCCCATTCCCAATGATACTGTCTGGCTAAGCAAAGCACTGCCACATATATATCAGGCAAGGTTATTACCACTCTGCTTTGTAAACAGGCTATGCCTCCTGGACATCTTCTATTTTTATTTCATTTTTGTGTTATATCTTATATGTAAATCTAGGCTGGCGAGAGTCAGGAGGCATTCATAGCATTGGGCCAAATTCATTCCAGGTGCAATTCCAGGTCTTTTGACTTCAATGAAATTACACCTGGGATGAATTTGGTCTATTATTAACTATAGAGATTACATATCCAGCTTCCATAGTATACTAAAATACCCAGAATACATATAAATAATGAAGTATGTAATTACAGTCCTGGTTTTAATTTGTGTTCCTAAATGTACTGATGCTTTTGCACATGTTTATAGTTATAGCTATGCTATTGTAGTATATTTTTGTTTAGTGCAAATATATTTGAGTTTTTCTTTAAAACAGAGTTACACACAATATTTACTTTCAAATGTATCAGTAAGTCTTTCAAAATCCATATGATGGCTGATTCCATGTAACAATATTAAATTATGTTGGTCTTAAATATCATACATATATATGGAGAGAGAGAGAAAGAGAGAAAGAAACATATGCAGGACATCACAAGACTGCCACTTAAAATCATTCTGCAAACAATGAACTTACCTTCCTATGGATTATATGTTAATCAGTGCACACAAATAGGTGATCTTTCAGAGCTGTTACGAGCCAATAGAACTGTTACCTATCAATATGAAAAATTTCATTCATTTCTGTTTCCTGTCTCAAACAGTGCAAAGCAAGTCAGTTGACAGGAATTTGTGCCTGACCAAACCCAAAAGCTAGGCAGTATTTAAATGGGCTCTTCCTTCATGAGGAGACATAAAAAACATAAGTATGACTTACCTCTGCATACACCTAATTCCTTGGCTCCCCTGTCTCGCTTTGTACATTCCTGCACCTTTCAGCATGGCACACTGTGAGGACCTGGTAAGCGAGTTAAAGTCAGATGACGCTAACGAATCCCAGCGCAAATGACTGAATCAATAGGAAACCAGCCACTGCTGTTTAAGTGTATCGATAAATGTACCTTTATTTTCTCTTGAATGGATAAGTGTCGCAGTTAAGAGTCCTATGGATCTCTTAATTGAAAGTTAATTTTAAATCAATAAAGAGAGTCATTTAAATATTGATCAGTCCTTTCTACACGAATTGTTAGCTGATTTTTTTTTTTTGAAACAACTTTGTTTAAATGCAATCAATAGCCCACAATCAGTGCGTTCCATAAAAAATTGACAGATGTTCCCAAAATGCCTGCTAGGCATAATCTTATCTGTTTACATATGTAGCATAGATATTTGAATCCTTTTCAAATGTACCCGGGTCTCTATGGCAGAAATGTGATTTCCTTAAATACCAAACTGCATGACTAAAGCGCATTCTTCCTCTTCTTTTTCAATAAGGTGGTTTAAAATTAAAAAGGAAGAGTTCTTGGATTTCCTTTGATTCTGCAAGTAATATTCATATTGTTTTACTAGTACAGGCAGACTGCAAAAGAAGAATGCCCTTGTATTGCACATAGGGAAAAGAGAGATAAGCTCTTATATGAAGCACATGTTCTCTGGAATTTGTGTGTCATAATCCATCAGATGTATTACTGTATGCAAAATGATACCTAGCTTTTAATTATATAGACATTTATGTACACTTTGTGTATGCATGTTGAATAGTAATGACTTTTAGCTTTATTTCATGGATATGGTCTCTCTCCTCAGCAGCGCGTAGCAAGACTATTTTATCTCAATTTGACAAAGCACACAGTTGAGTTAAAAGGATACAAATTTCATTTCATGAGATTCACTGAGATTAACCTAATAAAATAAACCTAGCTACATGTGGCTTTCAACATTTCAGCAAAAATGACACTCTTCTAAGATGCCTTTCCAGAACCCTTTCAGTAATTTGCCTGTAGTGGCCTGGTACAATTTAGTTTGTCATACCTAATGATGAAGTCAGACTGGACACTTTGGTACAAGGAATATGAATTGAATTTTTCTTCTGTACCCTCTAATTAATTACAAAGTCGTACTTTGATGTACACAGCTCTGACGTCCTGAAGTTGGCCTTTATTATTATTTTCCTTATTTTTCAATTTTCAAATCCAGTGCCTTTTAAAGAAGGTTTGTACTTCTACGTAATTAAGCCCTTTTTGAAGTATGAGTGCAAAAAGTTAATTATAACAAATCACGAAATTACATATATATACAATTTGTCAAAATTAACATTTTTATTTTCAGTGATCTGACTTAAACATAAAATAAAACTGACTGACAATTATTTTGACTGACATCTAACTGAAGAGTATTACCATAATAGTGTTTCCTAAGTGACAAACTAAAAATTAAGTCCCATAATTAAAACTTTATGACACATAGTAATTTAAGGCAGAAAATAATAAACAATTTTTTTTTAGGAGTACTGTCTAAGGAGAATACGGGTTGCTTGGCGGGGGGGAATCTGCAATATAATTCAGTCTATTTTTGCTATTAATACAAATGCTTCCTGCTGTTCTGAAAATCCACCATTTCTTAATCCTGCATTATTGTCCTCTTAATGCAACATTTCAAACCCATTTTGCTCCATTTTCTGTTAGAAAAGCCATTTTCAAAAGGAAGATTAAAAAGAAAGAACCAGGTATCATTGGTTCATATGCATATGGGTTCAGCATGTGAGGATGCTGTTTCTAGGACTGGCCTTAAGATGTGACTGATAGATCTTATTTGTCTGATAGAGTTGACCAGGGAAATAGAGCTACAGCTGGTTACTTCATTAGGTCCTCTCATTGATTGAACCCTGCTGAAGTGATGCAGCAGGCTCCTGAGATAACTGCTGGTAATAGAACAAAATGAATTCTTATCACAGAGATTGGAAAGGCCATTAACCCTGGCCTCCAATGCTTTTCAGAGGTCACAGACAGGAAGCCAAGCGGTGACTGGGAAAACTGTTTTGTGTCTAACTACAGGTCATGTTAGAGGGGGTCTGTGACTTTTTTACCCTTCGGCTTCTGTACAGATGAAACTGTTACACTGGCAGATGTTAATAATCAGCTGTAAATAAATATTGGAAGCAGAAGAAGAAAAATGAGAAAGCACAGGAATTTTTTTCAATAAATATTTAATAAAAGAGCAATTGTTTCTGTGATATTTACTGCCAGTTCTGCTGTAGATTTTTGCCTAATACTTTTCCATATAAATTGAAAAGAGAAATACGTAGAGGCACTTAAAAAACGAAATTTAATATGGTTTTATATAAAAATACCTTTCCTTCCTTCCTTCAAAGATGAGAATTATAATTGCCTGCTGCCTGCCTGCTTCCCTTATTCAGCAAGCCTATCACCAGTTCATCTGTGAATTAGTGCAGGGCGCTGTTTGCCTTTCACCTGGTTGAGAAGGGTATATATCTAAGTAACAGTCCTATAATTTACATTTAATGCAACCTTTCAATTGACCAAGAGCCCACAACCTAAGCCCCCATCTCACAGCTGAGGACTTTCCCACATTTGTCAAGTCAGTGCCACTCCAGCATCAGCCAGGAGAAATCATCCATTTAAAGCCTGGAGCTGCACATGACAATTTTCCTATTGCTTGTGAGAAATCCAGCCATGGCAGAGGTAGCTTTGTGTTTTACTTTTTTGACTCTTGCTTTCAGCAGCAGTGTTTTATTATGCACATGGATTAAAAAAATATAGTGGGATGCATCTTATAAAATTAAATGGAACATTTTCTTTTTATTACTGACATATTTAAGGCTATGCAGATATGTGTTGTAGGTTGATTTTAGCAGTATGTTGGTGGCTTCTATCCTTGTGATTGTGATTTAATTTCAATGTCTGTGGTCATGTGGTATTCTCTGCTGGAGCCAATCTTTCACAAGGAGCAAGTTCATTTAAATGTAAATGGGGTCCTGTGGATGGAAAAAACTACATACTTCATGTCTTCAGCGACCCACCCAAGCATTTGGTTTGGCCTTCCATGCATAAATAATAACAAGAAGGTATGCTGTCATTGCCTTGCTTGAAACACCAGAAGTGGTTTGGCACAGCAGAAACCCCAAGCACTAAAAAGAGATTGGTTTGGATAAACTCACAGTTCAGATCCCCATCCTGATTAAACAGTGTAAAAAAAAAAAAAAAAAAAAGGAAAAAAAGTAAGAGAGAGGGAGAGTTATGGGGTTATTTTGAGGAGTTGTGAATTACAGGAACAGCTGAAAACCAACTCAGGCTAAGAACATACCGTGCCTAAAAATACTCTGAAGTAGCAGAAAGCTTGTCATTTTGTTAACTTGAATGGATTTTTGCTCTTAATTGTTTGTAGCAATTTGCAAGAGTGGGATGTGAATGTGGTATAAGTGGCAATATAATTAGCATTAATTTAGCATAAAAATGCAAACCTACATTTTCTAAGTAGTTACCTTCCCTTCCACTAAAACATGGAAATATATTACATAACTCTAAAGTATGTGTGGCTTTTTTTCAAGGTGTTATTAAATATGAAAAAATGGAATGCCTTTTCTTTTTTATCGTTATGTATAAGGAGATACAAAGGATTGCACAACTTCTTTTTATCAAAATATTTGTGGTATATATATATTTCCACACTGCTGAACTCATGTATTGACTTTTCATAGAAATACCCCAGGTGTATTTCAACAGAACTGAGAAATCACCCTTAGAAATTTCCTTTCCTACCAAGCAAACTCATAAACAGGTTTTCGTCTGTGTGGATGAACAGATATATTTTCAGGATTACTTCATTAAGTGCACACTTCTATTTATCTCATTTATTAAGAATGCTGTGTTCTGTGGCAGATGTTTCAGGGTATGACACATGGGCCTGGAATCTCAGTGTGTGATACCTTTGGTGAAACTCATTTATGAAACATCCAGACTTCCAGTTAGTTGTGCTCTGCACTAGGAACTTAGCAGAATTTTGACTTTGTTCCAGAGCTGTAATAAAAGGCTGGTATTTACTGTTTTCAGAGATTTCTGAATAATATTTGATAAGCCTTCCTCTTCTTTTTATAAAGTGGCATTAGTTCAAGATGAGCTAGATTTAAGTACAAGATTTGCTATCCAGGGTAAGAAACAGGATATTAGTGTTTGTGTTACTCAGCTATATTAGGTGTAGCTGTAAATCAAATAATTTTATCCTGGAAGCTTCAAAACCTAAAATGTTCATTTGTTGGGCCGTCTTCACTTATTTCATTGAGCTGGTTAAGTAACAATAATTGAAGCTGATGTTTAGATTTCCTTAAGATTCTAGTGAAATAAATGTGTTATAGGTACAAATAGAGATGATCAAATAGTGGTTTTCTATCATATTATTAGCCATTAGGAGATATACGTGTTGTGCTGTTTTTAATCATTTGGTTTTCAATAATGATTTCCAAATTATTTTCACAGAATCTCTTAAGTCTTCTAGATATATTTGCTGACAACTCGATACTGTTAGAGTGTTTTAATTAAAAAACACAAAAAGATAATAGAGCTCAAATACTATCATGACAGATCTGATATCTGAAAAACAATGCAATGTGGGCAATATGGGATTTTTGTTTTGTTTGGAATGTGTAAAATTATTTTGTTTAAGCTTGCAATTTGCAAGACATACAAAATTATTGGAGAGAGGTCCACCTCCCAATTCAGTGGTCTAAAGAAACAGACTTGAGAAAGCAGTGCAAGTGTCAAGCACTTCATAAGAGAGAGTGAATCCAAGGGTGGGTGGTGCTAATCTAGGCACATTTGCAGAAGTGGCATAGCAATTGTGATACAGAAAATAATCTAAAGACCATTAATAGACTAAGAGCCATTACCCTTTTTTTGGAAAATATTAGGTTTCTTACATAATGATAAGCTATAGCAGAGAGAATCACCACATTGATTAATTTTAAGGCAAGCTAGAATTAGAAGAGTCTTTGAATAAAGCCTTTGAAAAAAGGGATCTCTGAAAATGAGTTAATATGTCTCGATCAAAACAGCAGTATATCAGTTCATGGATATTGTGAAAAGTATGAGTGTCATTAATATAGTCACTTTTATTTAAAAAAAAATTAAATGGGATCCCCTTCATGTGATTGGAAAGACACTTGAGAATAGGCAAAAAAAAATTAA